TTTTACTAAGGGGTAATTGGGTAAGTTTTGTGGTCGAGATTCGTAATAAGATTGTATGAGGTTTTATTCGGGGGTAATTGGGTAATTTTGTTGGTAATATTCGAGGGTAAGATTGGGGTAACCTATGATTTAAGCTGTTTATGGAAAGTGTGACGATAGGCTCCTTTTGCTAGCTACTACTACTCTTTAACGTTCAATGATGCCAGTTTCTAATTGCCCAAGTCTTGCTTATTAAAAAATTTTTCTCCAGCATAGCATACATGTCTGAGTAAAATATTTTAACTAATTTTGATTTTCCAGACTGGTCAAAAGTCTTGAAAAAAATTCCCTAAGATTATTCTAAGCTATTTGGAGTATCAGTATGGCAGTGGCTAAGCTGACCATGACTTGTTTTTAGTTGCCTATGGACACTGGACAGAAGAAGAGATTTTGCGTCTCATCAAAGGAGTGGTGTACACCTGGAACAAAACGCCTGCTCAAAACCACTCCCATTACACCAATGGCATTAACTGGATGAAAGTATTCCTTTTTGTTAGAGTGAGTTGTTTTTAAGTACAAAAGTTTCCTAGAATTCATAAGCATTTCATCTCCTTGGTTTTGAGCATCATTCCTATCAATCAGCAGGGAGGAATAATGTTTATTATTTTGTTCCTTGAAGGTTTTGCATGAAGTCACCCTATAAAACAATAGTTGAAAATGTCCAAGGCATTTTGTATATTGGACTGCATTGCCAAGGCAGTCTAACAAGCAACATAGGTTTTCTTCCCTTTATTGCTGTTGTAAGCTGCATGTTATATGAAAAAGAATATCCACTGGAAGCATGGCAATTAGTTGGGAATAATATACAAAAATAGACACAGGCCAAATGAAGCAATTTAAATGTTACACTGACACTCTTGACTTCTGTCAATTGTGGGTATGTTGGACAACATAAACAAATTTTCATGGTATACGGTATTGTCCCTGCACATAAAACATATTTGCAAGCAAAACAATTGCAAACAGAAATAATGCTGCATTTACCAATAATAAATTACAGGAGTGATTAAAATTCTTAGATGATACAGCAAATGGACCTGCTTTATCATAAACCATAACTGGCAATGCACTGAGATTTACTGACAGCAGGGTGCGTACTGATCCTGGAAAATCTGGAAAGTCCTGAAATTTGATTTTTCATTTTCCAGGCCTAAAAGTACTGGAATTTCATTTCAGATTATGGAAAATACTGGAATTTGCAAATTAATAGAAAAAAGGAAGTATTTTTCTGTGCTGCGTGTGTTAACCCTAATCGCCACGGGTTGTTGTGTCACGCTACAACCTTGGGTGCGATTGATATCTGCCCTTAATTTTGTTAAATATTATTTAGGTGTCTTCTATTTTACATACGCTGCGATTATTTTACCAGGCATTAATATAGATTGTTTCCTATCAAATGCAGTCTTCAAACGCACAATTGTGAACTTGAATTCATTTTTGAAAATTATGAGAATGGAAGGACTGAATTTCTGGCCTCAAGCAGAGCCATCTCCGTGTACGACAACTCCGACCGCTCAAACTTGTGTCTATGTTACCCATGGGGATGAGACTGTAAGTCATTCACGTGTGTGTGTGCCTGAGATATTGCTGGTGCATGTGCAGCTTCAGCACTGGTGCACCTGCATCCTCATCGCTAGTTTCTATCAAAGTTTCTTTGTTCCTATAGTTTTTTTATCTCATTGTCTGCGACTTCATTGCCCGCCATTGAAAGAACTGCATGAAATGAAACGCATTAGCGGAGCGGGAAGCTCAAGTACCTCCCTGAAGTTCCAGCTAAAATATTATTGATCCAACACCAAGAATAGATATCAGTTGAAGAGTATCTCGACAGACAAGGCTGTGAGATTCATGGTTATTTTTTTCGGTGGTTATGAGAAACTAAGGGCGTTTCCGCCGTTTCCCGCTAACGCTACGCGATTAGCGTTAAACTGTTTCTGCAGTCTCACGTTTCCTCCATTCTGATTGGCACGCATGGAACAAGAGACTGTGCCACAGTCTCTTGTTTCCTGCCTTCTGATTGGTTCTCCAATCACGTGACCGTCGGTCATGAGATTGGAGAACCAATCACGTGAGCTCGGTCACCAGGCTCAGTTGCATTCGAAACTATTTGATGTGCAGTGGCAGCGTTCCATCTTAAGCGTGCAATTTCTACATCGCCATGTGTGGAAAGTGTAAATTTCATGACTTGTTATTAAAAATAGAAGCTTATCGTGACCAGCTTGCTCGCCATCCCAAGCATGAAGGTATGGCAATATGTACATTGTGCTCAAAAGACTTCGATGTGTCAAATATGGGAGAAGAAGCTTTGAAAAGCCATGCCAAAGGCAGCAAACACACCAAGTTAGCTAAGCAACACAGTGAAGTGAAAAGCAAAGCGCAGTTACGCATTTCAGATTTGTGGTCTGCTGACAGCTATGCAACTGCAGTTTCTTGCTACAAAATGTATCGGTGAATAGTCCGTCGCAAAAGTCAGCACACATCAGCACTGTAGTGTCTACTGCCTCTGTGATTATGTAGAGATGGAGAGCAGGCCTGTATCCACTGCCAAAGCCAACCCCATGTGCCGAACTAACCAGCTTTGTAACAAAAGATGTTCTGACGTCTGAAATTTGGTGGGCATTGCCAGATTTGTGTCATTTTTGATCCTCTGTGTCTGCCCACTCTATGCATTTACACGTATGCTAGTTATCAACTTTAGGAGATGATATCATAGAATATGCACGGTTACTCTTTCAGTCATGCGAAACCTGTCATACACGACTCCTGGGAAATTACACTGATGATCATGGAGAGTCCTGGAAAAGTCCTGTAATTTTTTTTCTCAATATCGGTACGCACCCTGTGACAGGCTGGAGCTCGTTGCCCATAACCTCCACTCTGCAAAATGTTGCCACAGTAAGCTATGTGGCGCCTGATTAACCATGGGCAGGCAATAAAAGATTTTAAGTGCAAATACATGCAGAATACCATATTAGTCAGATATGTTTACCAGGAAATTATTACACACTTGATTCTTCTTGTATTTTATTTAACTTTTTGGTTATCCAGAAATGTTCTCAGGCGAGTGGCTCAATCTCGTCTTGAATCCTATTTATTCCAGTATAATAATAATATAGGTTCATAATTTCCTTATTACCTGTAAAATCTGTCAAGAAAATATCTCTCTTCATTCCTGTAAAGTTTAAATTGTTACTAATATTTTGTGGTTACTGTGTGCTGCCAAAAATTAAATTGTGCAATTGATTGAGCTTTCATGCTCATTTATTTATTTTTGATTGCACATATTGAACTGAAAATGAGCACTTCAAGCTATTGTGTGGTAAAATGTATTGAACTCTCAGCCAATATCTTGTATTAAAGTATTGCACTTGATATACAAGAAAATTCCACAAATTAATTCTTCATGGATATGTGACCCTATTATTTAAAATTATATATATTCATTGCATTGGAAAATGGCTATTTCTAGTATTTTCTGTAAAAATTCACATGTATTCTAGTATTCTGTAATATGTCTGTAGCCTGTTTGGCAATTTCTAGTATTTTCTGTTAATATTCACATACATGGCTGTAGCCTGTTTTGCAGAGGAGATGACAGGTGATGCTGCTATTTTGACTGCTGTTTTATTCAATTAAGTCCTTGGAGTTCTGTAATGTTAAATCTGTGTTACTCTTATATAATATTTTTTTTGTATTCAATTGCATTCAAAGTTTTTTCAGAGGATCTGATTTAGCAACATTAAGCTTTTTTTCTGGATAGTATTTGTCTCAGCTGCTTTTATTTCTAATTTATAATAAAAATGTTCTAGCTAACATTGAAATAGATTTGCGAGTGATTTTTTTATTAAAATATTTCATTGCATAATTTGTATCAATACTAAGCTTTCCTGCCAAGGACCTTGTTTTTTGCAGACACGCACGCCTAGAACCTGCTGCAATGCATATGTCAGGTTTGCAAAGCAAGCTTTGCATATGCATCACTACAAGCTGAAGCACCCAGATGCTGAGGATCTCCCAAAGTGGACATCTAATCATGAATTGATGCTGATTAAAGAGTGAGAGAATCATGTAGTACATTAGATGTCTTATAGGCTGTTTCAAACTTGTTTTTTTCTATTATTTTTAAATACCATCGTCCAGAAATGTATCTTATTGTGTGCAAGCATTTATGTTACTGATGTGTGATGCTAGTCCTGTGAAAGCCATCACACAAAACAAGGTCTTCCAAAGTTCAATTGGCTGGTGACTTTTTTGTTAATTTTATTCTTTGTTAATACGTTATTTAATTTTTTATTTTATTAAAAATTGATTTAATTAATTGAATTTGTAATTTCATCACTGGTAATAATTCATTATCTGTATTTCAATATATGAGATTGTCAATGACTACAGATATTGCAATCATCAAACTTATCTATTAACATTTTATTTTAACTCAACTTTTAGCTGATAATCTCATTTGATATTTTCCTTCTTATTCCTCTGGTTACATTTTGTGATGATGCTCTCTTCATGACATTTCTTTATTATTCACAACCAACTCCACTTCCAGTGTCTTCATAAGGATTGATTTGAACAAAATATTCTATCCAGTTCATAATCAACTGCATGAATCAGGAAGAGGTACTTTGATTAAACTGTTGTTCATCAGTAAATGATAGCACTGATTGTGTTAAGCTCCTGCTTGGCTTGCAATGAGAAGCAAAACATGTGTTGCATCTTTCTTGTTTTGATGCATTCCTTGTCTGTGATCTGGCTGAGGAGAATAGAAGAGTAATAATCCAATTTTGGGTCCAGAATGTCCAGCATCATTTGCAACTAAATCCTCTCATTGATAGCAAGCACTGCATTGTTGAGCAATGCAATTTTAGAAGCTTTGTGGTAACATAAAAGGTACATGCAAAAAGTAGTTATATGAATCACGTTTTTTAAGTAAACATCATTTTGATATGAAAAAATAAATTAGTATAAATAATAGTGAAAATAAATAATACTTTATTTATTATTTTACTACTACTTTACTACTTTTTACCCTACCTTACTTATATGCATAATTCCCATTAATCTTGAGGCATTAATTGTATTTCTGGACCAGCTTTTGTAAGCTTTTGTCAAAAAAGCTTGCCACAAGCCTAGAAAATGAAATAATACAATTTCAAAAGAACACTTCTTGTGATGGCAAGAAACTTTTGAGCTAAGAACAAAATTGCCAGTTGTCTTTTTTCTTTCACTTAACAGTCCACAATTTGAATTAAATTATTAGTAAAGACTGAAGGTCTCTCACTCTGTTCTCCATCATGAATGTTTTTGCTGCCATCTTTGAAGGCCCTAACCAATTTCCACACTATTTCATCTCTCATAACTTTTTTTCCATGCACCTCACTGAGTTATAAATGAATATCAACTGATTTATACCTTGAGCACACAGAAGCCATACAGTATTACAGCACAAACTTCACAGTTGGCAGGAGTCTCAATCTAGGTGAAGGAATTCTAAATTATGTGAACAGATGTAACTACAGAGCGTGCGTGCTCTGAACAGCCACTGCAGAGCTGCGGTGGTGTAATTTAAAATTTGTACCAATTCTAAAAACATGCCTCATAATTATAAATGTTGTGCCTAAAAGCTGAAGCATCTGAATAATAATTAAATTAACTTTATCCACTGTTATCAAACTCTTTATACATTTTTTGTTGTGTAAATCCTTCATTTAAGAATATGCATCTGCTTCATTTCTTTCCATATTAGACATATACATATACAATTTTATTGGTTCAAAAATTAATTTTTCTTGTGGTGTTCACTCTAGAATTTTAAAGTCCTTTCTAGACATAATGCATACTCTATTTGTGGAACCTGGCTTCTTTATATTTATCTTGATATATATATTCTTGCTTCTAGGCAGAAATTCTTGTTCGAGCTTCAAGCTCTAAAAAATACTTGATAGATGTGATACCACACTGTTTGTCACATTTTTAAAAAAGAATTCCGAGTTTAATTTATAATTCTCCCTTATAACTGGGTTCTTCTTGTCAAAGTTTGCTTGGTATCAATTGATGAATTATTTTGTTTACAGGATGATCAGATCCCCTGCCAATACGCTGGTGGTGATGGACTTCAGGTCAATGATGGCCCTACCGGAGTTTGAAGGCTTCAGTGACAGCTACCTGATGCGCATGGCGCGTGATGCTATTGCTGCCTGGGTGCCTCTTCCGCAGCGGCGCAACCTCGACGGTATCTTGCTTGTTTCCACTTTCCAAATTCTATTTCACTTATTGCTGAAAGCTGCTATCTTGATAATTTCCAGTCTCCATATGCTATTTCACTTATTGCTGAAAGCTGCTATCTTGATAACTTCCAGTCTCCATATGCTATTTCACTTGTTGCTGAAAGCCGCTAGCTTGCTCCTTCCCACTCTCCATGTGTTATATCACTTATTGCTGCATGCCATTGAAGGCCGGTATGTTTTTTTATCCAACAGTATTGTACACAGAACTGCACCAACTAGACCACGCCGAATCAATGCTTCAACTGCTCTTAATAAAAAATTGTTGTGTCTAATGGCATAGTTGTCCCAAACATCTTCGAACAAAACAAGCCCATAAAGTATCCGACTTGGGAAGTAATCACGCAAGAAAAGAGACTTGGTAACATATAGTTTGAACAAATCCATCATCTGAACTATAAACGAATACAACAAACTGTAATTTATCTTTCTTAACTCTGTTTGGAGACAGTTGAGATCTATCCATCTGATGTTTAGGTCACAGTATAACTATAAAAATTAACATTTGGGTAATGCGTGTCGAAAGAACGAACTACTCTCTGAACAATGCATCCTAACAATGAGAAAAGTAGACATATACCGATGATGAGTCAACATAATTAGGAGTGGTCAGCAAAAGTGGGACCAAGACACTCACAAAAATAAGTTTGGCTTGCTGAATGGTTGAATCCTTGGAGGATCTCCACAAAGAAGATTGAGTAACAAATAACAGCTCTGTTGGTGGATTTTTTGGAGTATTCCCACAAGAAGGACAGAGTAATAGATAACATTTCATGCATCACATTTTTGATGAGTTTAGGACTTCGTAGTCCAAGGTCACGCTGATGCGCTGCCTTCGTCGTCCTTCGTCTCTGAGTCGTCGCTAGGCAGGTCTAGAACATCGAATGATGTAACAGCATGATTAAACATTGAACGTCTTAACTACAATGCCCAATTAACGATTACCTGGACGATGGCCTGAAGTGCAAGCGCATCATGAAAACATGACGTGAAATATAATTGATGTTACTGAAACTGCCGAATATTTCTGACACAATATGATACCACATGCACTCGAAAATTACCTGAAAATACATACGATGCAATAACCTGCAAGATTGTATGTCAAAATCTCACACAGGCAGTGTGAGATTTGGTTACATTAATTATATAATACATCGCAGTACAATCTATGCAAGGCTTGTTAATCATAGTTTTAGCTGTTAGTTATTATTAATGCCGTTCTTCGTACACAATTCGGTGTAATTTTTCTCTGCTGGAATTGGTAGATTTTTCTGTATGACTTGTACTTTATTATTGAGTTCTGAAATTAATGTAGGTACGTTACCTCTCTTGTCTTCTTGTAACAGTATCACTTAACTCACAGATGCAATTTTTAGAACCTTGTTGAACATTTGTTCTATTGACCGATTTGTTTTAGTCCATTACTCCTAACTTACAATTCCTACTAAACCAATTTTTTACCATTGAGAATGTTCAATTACATTTATTTGTAACCAAGTCTTTTTGTGCTGCACAGACTCGCTGGACTACCTAGCTACTAACATCCTGCCAAAGCTCGAGCGCAAGCTTGACAACCACTCCAGAGTGTTGAAGCAGATTAATCTCTACCGAAGTGCCAAGCTTGCAGACGCCATACCCGAGTATCTCGACGAACACATCAAGCGAATGTTCGCTACTGTGCCGCTGCATCAGCTTGACATCACTGAGCCTGATGTCGAGGATCCGGACCTTGAGGATCCTAACCTCCTGGATGGCTTGGATGATGACGACCTCAAGTTAAAGAAAGAAGATTGCGATTTGTTTGGTGATGATGACCTCGAGTTGCAGAAAGATGATTGCGAGTTGTACGAAGATGATGACTTCGAGTTGGGCGAAAGCGAACACCCCTAGGATGAGGGATCGCGAGTTGTATGATGACATTGTTTTACGTCATCCTACGACCAATGGGATGGTGATAATGATGTCAAGTTGGAAGAGTTGGATGAGTGTGATGATGAGTCGAACGGTGATGACCCCGAGTTGGAAGATGATGACCTCGAGTAAGATGAGGGTGATGGCTACGATGACCACCACGATCACAACTTACGATGACGGTTGAAGAATTTAACTCTCTCTTAATGAAATAATGATAACTCCAACATCAGAGACTTAACTGTGCATCAAAAGCTCATGTGCCTGGTTTGTGTTCAAGAAAGTCAGTACCAAATGTTCTCAAATGTGATAAGGTTGGTAAATATCATGCCAAATTCCATCATGTTCTTTTGTTCTACTATCCATTCTTCATACATGTCCCTCATGTATTGATGCCTTCCATAGGAAAATGCATTTACTGCAATAATTCGTGGTTGTTGATTACATATAAGTGTATACCTATATTCGTACCGCGTCAGGCCTTTATGCTGTTTGATGCCATAGTTCCTTGCTAAGTTGCATCATTGATGCGGAAATTTTGTACCATGTAACACCGGAAGTTCTGTATCGTTTTGCATCGCACATTTCATTTTGAAATTCCATAACTTGTCAGTTAGCATGGAAGTTGGGCAACAGATGCCGTAATATTTCCAATTTGGGAGATTTGCATTTAAAATATAAGGTTGATTACAGTTTGCATTTCCGTTGGAATGACAAATCTTGTTTTCTTTACCTTTTTTTTATTCTCAACTCAGTTCTTGGAGTTATTTATTCCATTATTGAACCGTGCGAACAAATATGTAAACATTACCTTAAATTCTGATATGTTCATGCATTTTTAAGCAAGTCGAAACTGACTCGTCGCGTGCAACAGGTTCTGGCGAGTAAATCCCTACTTGAACTATCCCCTCAGGGGGGACTTCTGACGCGTGTCTGTGCTCGTCAGAAGTCCTATGGAAGTTCGCGCTCCTAGGGGGATTGTTCCTGAGCGCCCCACCGCTGAGCTCGCGGTGTCTGACAGCAGGTCTCAGTTGTTGGGTTAAGTTATTATGTAGGTAGGATTTCTTACATTAGTTATTATGTAGGTAGGATTTCTTACATTAGTTATTATGTAGGCAGGATTCCTTACATTAGTTATTATGTATGTAGGATTCCTTTCCCTTCTCTGTCTCTCTCGTGCGGGTGGCCGACGTCTCGTGTAAGCGACCTCTTGTTCTAGTGTCCTAGTTTCTGTTGCTTTTCACCTGTCCCTTCTTGACACTTCGTCTCTTTGAGATGCTAATGCTGCTTCTTTCGAGCCAGCTTCAACGGGCTGGACAATTGAGACCTTCCGCCCCTTTTGGGTGATGATTAATTTTTGATTTGAGAAACTACCTATAACTGAGACCTTCCACATCTTTGGTGTTCATCTTGACTTTCGGCACGAGATAGCTAATTACCTAAAGCGCTAGTAAACATGTGGCCACTAAAGTACTTGAACTGTGACGAGCAATCAGGCGAGGTGTTACATTCTTGCTGTATTAGTACGGTACGCAGCGTTGCGCCACATTAACGTTCATTATAGCTGCTTTAAAGCTAAACACGTTCGTAGGAAGAATAAAAGTTGAATCATGTCGTTTTGCGACAAGATTTGTGGTCAATATTTAGTGCCCCCGTCAGATCGCCGGAATGAACAACCCATTTTTTTCATTTTTCGTAGAGAACATTTTCAGCGTTTTTATTGTTCTATTTGTTCTTAACTAAAAATTTGAAACGACACATGACTACCCCGAATTGTATAGAAAGAAATTTCAATGGAGCTCAATGGGCGATAGTTATCCGATTCTTTCCTGTAATTCTCCGACCAGCTAGACTGTAAAAACTACACATTCTTCCTTGCGTTTTGCACCTCAGAGTGCGTGGTCTTAATTTTTAGTCTCGGTATGTTGTCAAAAAAACATGATACGGGCAAGCACAAGCGTGCCATCGTATCGTAAAGCACGTAGTAATACTCGGACAGAAATAGGCGGACCACGGTTCCCTCGCATTCAACTAATACAAGCATGAATTGCGTAATTAAGAAGCCTTCGACATGTAATTCCAAACATAGCTTTCGATTCATGTAGCGCGGGAATTAGCGTCGAGCCGAAATTTTTGTTATTTTAGTGTCCAATAAAAACGGACAAGTACATATTTTTGCGCATATGTGCACCAAGTGGGAGTTTATAAGTCACTACGTTTCCGGTATGATGATAATGTAAAAGTGGCTCCGATGAGCCTGATCGAGTATTGTATGCACAATACTCACTACATACAATGTGTGAATAATGTGCATACGAGTTTTGAATGGAAATGTAGCTCAGTTTTTGAACCCTGCTGCACTGCCTGGCGTCCTGTCATCGCACTGTGGCACAGAAGTCAGCTAGTTGGTAGTTGGGATTGCATGAACACTTTGTGTTCCCCGCCTTTTTTAACATCAAAAACCGGGGGAAAATTTTGTACGATGATGTATCACTCTACTTATGAGGTGTTACGCGGTACATTGATGCAAGCTTTGTACAATATTTGTCTCCGTGGACCTGCGAGCAAATCCACAACTTGGTACGATGAATCCGTGATACGGTAGGCATGACTAAACATAACTACAAGATCTGTACGCAACAAATTTCGTTGTTTGCATACATTATACGCATGTTTCATGCATGGTACATCATGGTACCGTGTTTGCATCATTGATACGTACTCCTACATCTGCTACGTGGACAATATGGTAACCAAGATATAGATCGGTAACAAGGTTGTGAAATTTGTGATTAATACTGCATATTAATCCCGACGATCATGAATCATCAGAAGCAGGCATCTAAAGGCCCGTTCACACTAGGGGCAACACACGAGTATCAAGTGCCTCAAAGCGCATGCAGAGGCGCTTTGCAGCCTCTGCATGCGCTTCTTGACCGATTGACGAGCTAGCGATTGACAGGGGCCATGCCTCATGCAACGCAAGCGCGGCGCTTAGTAGATAGCTATTAAATTAAAGAATTGATATCACTTGTATGCTTAAATCGCAAATTAACTAAGAATTTAAATTAAAATTTTAAATAAAATTAAAAATCTAAATTAATTAATTAAAGAAATTGAATTCGTCCTATGGTTTCAATGTATTAATTTGTGACTTCTGATTTGTGATTCTAGATTCCACGAACTGACGATGGAGCTGGTCTCCGAAACGTTTTCTATAATATTTTTTCCCTCTGTTTGGAACATTTTGACACTTTTCTTTTCCTGTGTTTGATTACATTGACACTTTTTCCTTTTTTATCACAGTGTGGCACTTCTCCCCCTTTGTTCAACATGAGCAGGCCACGGAAACAGGTCACCTTCCTTTTGCTTATTTTCGTACATGCTTGCATATTGCCTTTATCTAACATTTCGGGTGTCATCACTTGTTGCAGTTGAGCAGATAGCTCTTGGTCCGAATAACGGACTTCAGTACCTTAGTTGGAATTTTATTTCGTTGCTTGTTTTTCACATAGGTGACTTGTGAAAACACTCGCTCCACGAATGCATTGGAGACAGGTCATAGTAGACAAATGATGCAGTAGGCAGCCAGTTCTATGAATGGATGATGATTTTGAAGATCAATGAAATATTGAATGGCACCCTAGAATTCAAGTGGCACTCTAGAATTCAAAACCACCAAACAAAAATAGTGGAGCTTGCGTCGCAGAGATCAATTCAACAACCTCACTCCTCGTCGTAGGTCATATCATCACTGATCAGTAATCAATCAATGATCATCACTCTCGTGTTATATTGCACTAGAATAGAATAGAAGTGTCGGCGTTGAAGAAATAGGCCCATGGCCACTAATAATATAAATATAATATAAAATAGGCCACTAAGCACTTATGTTAAATGTTAACATTTAGATTGGGGTTATTTCATCAAGCGGTAAACTTGCGGTTCCAAAAATGGCGGGAAACCTCTAGTCGCGCCGCTCTGACGGTAATCTATATGGTCCACGCCAACGCTGGAGGAAGTTCAAACTTCAGAGGTTGAACTTAATGCAGCAAATTTGCAGCAAGTCAGAAAATACCAGAAAAATACCAGATTTAGGCAAATATACCAGATCTAAAATATTCATACCAGACACCTTCTGAAAATACCAGATTTGCGAAATCTGGTATAGAAATATACCATCTGGCAACGCTGGCGCGCAGTCTCAAACTACTGAGTACAAAAGTAGTGTGAACGGTTGTGCGCGGTGAGGCACTGCAGCAAACGACTCAAAGCGCATGTCGTTGCCACGAGTGTAAACGGGCCTTTATATGTACAACATGTGCGTCTGATAATTTCTTCGCAGCACACGCGGCTGCATTCCTTTCTAAACCTTGCGTTAGTATCGAAATTAATTGTCAATTAACGCACTATAAAATTTGTCTCACATTATTTATTTCTCATATAGTCGCTATAATAACAAAGCAAGCACCGCGTTCGTGTGGAAACCGTTTGACTAGTCAGCTAATGCTGCTAGGCTCAGTTATATGGCTAACTAGCTTAGCCCGATAAACTAAGCTACTCAGTTGAAGCCGATGAGCTAAATTAATTGACTATGTCTGAAATGATACGTTAATTATGTTAGCTAATGCTGGTAGGCTAAAACTTTACTGAAACGACAAACAAATTAGTTATAGTTAAGAAGCTAGGTAATATTAAAGGTAAATTTTGAAGTTGTCTGAATTAGAATTGGAAGTTACGACGCGTGTAAGTACACTAAGAAAATTGACGGGTAATGTTGTCGAAATATTAACACAATTTCTGCTCGTAACACTGATACGCACCTTTTAGCCTTGCCAAATAAGGTTAATAAGACACGCACACAAGCGTAAGTAGTGTATCGCTAAACTCTCACTCATTTTGATGAGTGCAATGACCAAGATTCTCTCCCGCTAAATTAAAGACGAAGATTTCGTCCCTTGCTTCGTCTGAATCAGTTAGTCCAAATGGTTACACTTTTTACACTTGTCAGTAATGGGCTGGCTAGGCTCTTTGCCTAGCCAAACATGGTCAGGATGGAATACAAAAGGTATTAAGTGCATAACTACTTGGACAAAATACCACGAATTTCTCTGGGTGTACACGGGATGTCACCGAGAATCTATGCATTTGGCCGTGGTAATATCATTTAAAAATAGCGATGAAATAAAATTAAATTTTTTAAATGAAACTTTTTGATGTCTGAGGCAAAATTATAATTTTCACATCGATAAATACATTTTTTATATATATTAATAGATAAGTAAATTTTTTTTATTTGTTAACATTCTTCGATTTATTAATATGTTCACCCGAAAAATTGAATAATTTCAATTGCTAGATTTTGACAGTCACGCTATTTTGTACCTCACCCAGCTGGCCTCATCACGCTATTTTAATCCTTTTCATGTGTTATTTTAAACTTAGTAAGCACTAACTTGACGAGCAACGACCAGGAGTTAAGACTAAGCGAAAATGTTCACAATTCTACTTCAGGTTTCTTCCTACGATGTTTATAATAATAAGCTCTAAATCCTAACAAGTCATGCGGACCACACGGCTGCCATCCAAGATTGCTCAAAGAATTAACAACCGTTCTGGAATACCTTTTGATGGTATTCTTTCAAAAAACCCTGAACGAAGGAAGTTTGCCGACCGACTACAAAGAAGTTCAAGTGACACCATTGATCAAAAAAGGTGACAGAAGTAGCCCCGGTAACTATCGCCCTGTCAGCCTGACAAGTGTTGTTTGTAAGGTAATGGAATCTGTTGTGAGGGATAGGAATACCGATCACTTGACTGTTCATCATCTATCAGATTGTCAACATGGTCTTATTACCGGTAGATCCTGCACCACTAACTTATTATCTACGTTGAACGATTGGACTCGCCTGCAGGACGAAAGGGAGCCAGTGGATGCAGTGTACCTTGATTTTGCCAAAGCATTTGACAGTGTTCCGCAGAAGCGGCTGTTGCGTAAAGTGAAGTCTTTGGAAATTGACGGAAACGTACTACAATGGATCAGAGATTACCTAGTAGGCAGAAGACGAGTCAGTATGAACGGAACCGTGTCAGACTGGGCATCAGTGCACAGTGGCGTGCCACAAGGAAGCGTTTTCGAGCCTGTTTTATTCGTTGCGTTTATATACGATCTGCCAGAAGTAGTGTCAAGCGTGTGCTCCATATATGCCGACGACACAAAAGTTTATAATACAGTGAAGGATGCGTCAAACAAAGCGCGATTGCAAGATGATTTTGACAGTTCAGTCAACAAGGCTGATGCGTGGCAGCTGCGTGTTAATGCTGACAAGCGTAAAGTACTTCACCTCGGGAAGAACAACGAACGAAGCTTACAGTGCGGAAGGCATGGTTGCAGCGAGAGAGCGATGAATGAAAAAACGACACATTAAGAAGTTAATGTCAACAAGAATTTGAAATTTTCTAGGTATATTGAAACGCAGGTTGATAAATCCATTAAACTTCTTGGACTGAGCTTGATGTTACGAGTTCCTAGATGCAGAGGCAATGAAGCTGTTGTTTTGCTGTCGTACGTGTGAACCTAGAGTTTTTAAACGCCGTGTCGTGTGGTCACCGAATTTCGGAAATGAAAAAAATTAGTCGGGAGTGTTCAGAGACGTGCAAACAGAATAATTCCAGGCTCAAAGAGCAAATCATCAGAAGAAAGACTAGAAATTATGAATCCCAGTCTCTGTTGTCGATGTCTGCGTGGGACCTCATTGAAGTATACAAGTGTACTCATGGTTTATACAAGGTTTCAGAAGGATCACTAGAATTTGAAACAAGAACCAACACTAGGGGCCACGGCTATTAACTAAATAAAGTGCGTTGCAACTCATCCACGCGACAACACCACTCGTTTCGAGCCACCGGCATGTGGAACAAACTCCGCAGTCGAATATTGTGCATGCAATACTCGACCAGGCGCAGCTGAGCCGCTTTCTTATTCTTACCATGCCGGAAACGTAGTGACCTACTCCAAAATGCACACAAAAATGTGTACCTAACCGTTTTCATTGGAAGTTAGGCAAGAAAAAACTTTGGATCGACGTTGATTCCCTCGAAAGATTAATTAAAAGCCCTCTTTTAAATTACACACCGAGAGATTCTCAATCGCCCAATTTATGCCGGTACAAGTTTAATGCTAGGGAACCATGTATCACGGTTCAGTTGCACGACTGCGCTGCCCGTTTCTTGTCTTTTTCAAAAACTTTCCAATAATAGAAATTAAGAAAACTCTCCCTGCGTTGCAAAGCGCAAAGGTAGATGTGAAAATGTGTAGTTTTTCAAGATCGATGTTGACGGTGAATTAACGGAATTATGACCCATCGAACACAGAGATCCATTGAAATGTACTCCTAAAAATGGTTCTTAATCTAATATATTCGGGATCGCCGTGTTTCGTTCATCACTAAAGAACAAAGCGAACAATAAACGTTGCACACATTACATGGAACTGTCAAAATATTCGTTTACTTGTTGACAATTTACATGTTCCTCACAAAAAATTTATGTCACCCAAATTTGTCATTTCTCCATCAACTTTCAATTGGAAGTATTGTTCAGTACTTTTCTTCATACGGACGCATTGAACTTTCTGGCAGCAATGTTGAACGTGAATTGCTTCATACACAGACATTAAATGAATGGAGCGCAAGACGATGAAAACAGCAAGGATGTGTGTAACACCTTGTCTGATTTCTCTATACACTTCACGTGAATATTTAACTCGTCAAAACCTGTTGCACATGACGAGTCAGTTTTGACTTGCGTGATTACAACACGCATCATCACATCAAAACTTAAGGGAAATATTAACACATTCGTTAAATAGTGTAATCATTTATGATGTTATGGCTCCAAGAAGCGATTTGAGATTAAAAAAAGGGGTAAAGAAACTCACATTTGTCATTGTTACAAAAATTTATACTGTAATCAACCTTATATTTAAAATTTTAATTTTAAATTAAAAATATTACGGCATCTTTCAGCCCTATGGTCAACTTCTTCTTCATGACGCAGAACTTAGTATGAAACTATTAGCATAATTCATCAAAAAATATAACTCAGTACTCACTGCAGTGAGTGACAGAGAGCGCATTTTCTCGTCGTCGAAAACTTGAGGTCACGGACAGACAGACAGACAGACAGACAGACGGACATGGCGAGAGAAAATGTGCCATGAGATAAATTCCATAAATGAGAAAATGCGCTAAAAAGACCAGAAGTACATGAAAAAAATACTCAACAACCAAGAATTTTTGCAATAAATGCATTTTCCTATGGAAGGCATTAATACACAAGGGACATGTTTGCAGAATTAATAATAGAACATGATAGAATTTAGCTTGCTACTCACCAACTTGAGCATCGTTTGAGAACAATTGGGACTGAATTTCTTGTAAGACAAACCAGGCACTTAAGCTTAAGACAGACAGTTAAGTCTCTGATTTTGGAGATGGAGGTTATCATGCTTTTATTACGAGGGATTTAGGTTCTTCAACCGTTATCGTGAGTCGTGATGGTCATTGTTCTTGAGAGTCATCAAATGCATCACCGTTCGAATCGCCATCACACTAATGCTACTCAAGGTCATTGTCTTCAAACTTGATATCATCATCAACCTGACGGTCGTAGGACGACGTAAAACATTGTCATCGTACAACTCATGAACCCCTGTTCCTAAAGACAATCGCTTTCGTCCAAATTGAAGTCACAGACGGACATGTCAGAGCCATCGTCTTCATACAACTCGCCATCATCTTTCTGCAACTCGTCATCATCACCTAACATATCGCAGTCGTCTTTCTTGACCTCGAGGTCGTCATCCAGCCCATCCAGCAGGTTAGGGTCCTCGATGTCGGGCTCTTCGGTATTGTCCAGCTGGTGCAGCGGCATAGTAGCGAACACCCGCTTGATGTGTTCGTCGAGATACTTGGGTATGGAGTTCGCAATGTTGACAATTCGGTCGAGGTATATCCGATTCATCACTCTGGTCCATTTGTCACTCTTGCGCTCAAGTTCTGGCAAGACGTGAGTAGCGAGGTAGTCCAGCGTGTCTGTACAGCACAAAAAAAAATTAAGGATTGCTGGATTGGTTACAAAAAGAGATTAGAATAAAAATACTCAATATTAAAAAGTTTTTTTAGTGAGGCAATATTGAAGTTAAGAGTAATTGTCGTTATTGAAATTCGTGTACAGGGAAAAGTTTTAGAAATTGCAATGTAAATGTGAGCCTTCAAGTCAGTTGATGGACTCATCAGGGACTCATCAGGGGACAGGAGGGGTAAAGTTCTTTTACTTCAGAACTCAATAATAAAGTACGATTCATCCAGAAAAGTCGACTAAATCCAGCAGAGAAAAATAACACTAAATGGCGCACGAGGAGCAGCTAAAATTAAGATTTACAAGCACTTCATACATTTTAAAGAGATGCATATTATTGCAAAATATATTAAGGTGATCACTGCGCTTTGCTCAACAAAGAGTTCCTTTATCACTGCCTGTGGGAGACTAAGCACACACAAGGGAATGAGGAAGATAGCGGCTATCAGTAATAAGTGATATAGCATATGAAGAGTGGAAACAAGCAAAATAGAGGCTAACAGCAATAAGTGATATACCGTATTGATAGTGGCTATCAGCAGCATGCAACAATATATAATATAGCATATGGAGAGTGGAAACAAGCAAGATAGCAGCTTTCAGCAATAAGTGCTATACCGTATTGATAGTGGCTATCAGCAGCATGCAGCAATAAGTGATATACCGTATTGACAGTGGCTATCAGCGGCATGCAACAATAAGTAATATAGCACATGGAGTGGAGAGAACGGAAACAAGCAAGATACCGTCGAGGTTGCGCCGCTGCGGCAGAGGCACCCAGGCAGCAATAGCATCACGCGCCATGCGCCGCAGGTAGCTGTCACTGAAGCCTTCAAACTCCGGTAGGGCCATCATTGACCTGAAGTCCATCACCGACAGCGTCGTGGCAGGGGATCTGATCATCCTGTAAAGAAAATAATTCATCAATTTATACTAGACGGAGGGCAAGGAGAATTGAACGTGTGAGGCAGAATTATAATTTAACTTGGGAAATTTTTTTAAAAATGTGACGAATAATATTGTATCACATCTATTGGGCTTTTTTTTAGAGCTTTAGGCTTGAACATGAAATTTCTACCTACGAGAATGAATCTATGAATTAAGACACATATAAGGAAGGCAGGTTCGATAACTAAAGTAAGCATTATCTCTAAATTGCAACATTCCCCCACTTAATTTTTTATATTTTTCTTGCAAAAATGGTTACCAAAATAAAATTTTAATCCTTATCAAGACATTGTAAGTGAAGTTGTCTAATTATGAAGAAATAACAAAAGAAAGCGTACTCACAAAATGTAATCAAAGAAATAAAAAAGAAAATATTTAAGGAGACCATCAACCTAAAGTTCTTTAATAAAATTGAAAGGTAAGAGATGTAATACAGATGTACATATAATGAATTTATACCTATGAATAAAATAACTGAAGGTAAAAATCAACAAAAAACTTAACAACTAATGGAACTTCGGAACACAGCGTAATATTTTTCATAATAACTTGGTTTGAATAACTAAAATTAATGATTGCACACAACAAGATAAATTTATGGAATATGGTATTTAAAAATCAAAAGAAAAAAGCAAGTTGGAACAGCTTAAAAGATATCTAATTGTACTACATTATTCTCTCACTCTTTAATGAGCATCAATTCGTGATTAGATGTCCACTTTGGGAGATCCTCAGCATCTGGATGCTTCAGCTTGTAGTGATGCATATGCAAAGCGTCCTTGACAAATGCGTAAAACGCTGTGCTGCAGGCCCTAGGCGTGCGCGTCTGCAAGAAAAAAAAGCTCCATGGCAGTAAAGCTTACCACACATACAAATAAAGCAATTAAATATTTTACTAACAAATCACCCCTAAATTTACCAAATATTTAGATAGAAATGTTTTATTATGAATGAAAAACACAAGAAAATGAGATAATTAGATATAGTTTATGAATATTGACGCAAAAAAAATTAATTTTATTAGCTTCCTCAACATTTGGCATCCTGAAACTCAGTAATGGTAGTAACAGATTCATGATTACAGAAGATTCTCCAAGAACTTAATTAAATAAAACTGTTCAAATTTACTTGTGCTCTAAATAACATCAACACCTGCCACTTCCTTTGCAAAACAGGCTACAGCCATATACTATATGAATATTTAAAGAAAATGCTAGAAATTGCTATTTTTCAATGTAATGTATAAATAATGTATTATTCTAAATTATTGGGCCACATATCCATGAAGAATTTATTTGTGGAAGTTTCTTCTATATTAAGTGCAATACTATAATACAAGATATTGGCTAAGAGTTAAATACATTTCATCACACACAATAGTTTGAATTGCTCACTTTCAGTTTCAATAAAATATGTGCAATCAAAAATTAATAAATGGGCATGAAAATTTAATCAACTGCATGAATGTAATTTCTGGCAGCACACAGTAGCCAATGAATATTATCAACAATTTAAACTACCGTAGTATACAGGGATAATGGGAGATATTTTCTTGACAGTTTTACAGGCTATAAGGAACTTATGAGTAGTAGTAGTAGTAGGGGAGAGGTTTCTAGCGCTTCAGATCAGTTTCGTCTATTTCGCGGCAAAGGTGCAATATTCGGTTTGCAGGGTCAGGTTTCTTAGTTGGTTTTAAGCTCGCAGCCTGATCCATCTGGTCTTGGGTGTATGCTTCTCTATTTCTAAGGCGCAGGTTCAATCCGTCTTCTGTCATTTCATCTCAACCAGTAATGTGATGACACGAATGTGGTGTTTTGTCAGTCGGAGGTATAGGTCTTTTCTGACCTACCTAATGGTGCCGTGCTAGATATCCGGCAGCATGTTACATTCGATTAAATATTGTCTAAGGTTGTCAGTTCTAAAGCTACTTCGGGGAACTACCCTCAGCATCCTAGACAGCATTTCATTTGGGCTGAGAGCAGTGGTGTTGGGGTAGTAGTTTTGCCTAGTATCACTGTGGCTCGGGCATTCCGCCATAACATGCAAGACCGTCAGGGGTACCAAACAATCATTGCAATACGGCATCGGACGGCGTTCGATCAGGTAGCTGTGAGTGAGGCGCGTGTTGCCGATCCTTAGTCTGGAAAGCGCTACCTCCATCTTCCGGGATTTCTGGTATGATGAACTCCACGCTTGTACACAGTCCTTAATTGTTCTTAGTTTGTTCTCTCTCACGTCCAGCCACTGTTCCTGCCAGATATGGCGGATGCTTGCCTTGATGATAGGGTAGTGGTCCCGGCAAGGGACCTGCTCGCTATGGATCGCCTGGTCCGATGAGGCGGCGTTTACCGCCGCCTCATCCGCCCTCTCGTTGCCTCGCACCCCACATGTCAGGGCACCCAGCAGACGCTCACCGCTCTCCCCGCCCCCGCCAGGCGCACCAGCCCAGTTAGGATCTCCCGGACGATAGGTTACCTGCTGTTATAAACTCTCAGAGCCTGCACCACATTTTTGGAGTCAACAAATATTGTAAAGTCGTCTCCGGGCAGTTGATCTATGAGGCTAAGGGCACAGCTAACACCGACAAGCTCTGCGGTGAAGATTGACGAGCTTGAACTGAGTCGTCTTGACACCGCCGCTGCGCCGGCCGCAGCTGCACATCCCATTGCGCCGTTCGTCTTAGAGCCGTCGGTGTAAACATGCGTGGAGTTAGCATGTTTTGTAGATGCATGGTGTAGAAAGTTGTTTCATCTTGGTTGGGTGTGTCCTTTGCTTGAGTGGGTAGTTTTGGTCCGGGCAGAATGTGTTGATTGGGATGCGCCACGTAGGGGTATCCTCAAACGTGACTGGTATGACTTCTATACATGAGCATGCGTCATTGCAAGCAGTGTTTCATAGTCTTCGGATGACGGGATATAGTACGGGAAAATGTTTGGTCGGTCTACAGTAATGACGCTGCGCCGTGTTGGGGATAGAGGTAATTGCTTGAGGCGGGCTATCATCTGTAGAGTGGATTCGGCGGAGATAGAATGGAGGTTCGCTGCTCTCTGCATAGAGGCTAACAGTGGGGTATGTTCTAAATGCTCCGGTCCATGCCGTGATGGCGGCGTTGTGAACCGGGTCGAGTAATGAAAGGGTTCGTTTTCTTGCATGTTGGTAGATGACGCATCCGTAGTCCATCTTTGTTCTAATAATGGCTATATAGAGGTAAGGTAGGGTCAGCCTATCCGATCCCCACAACAGACCAGACAGGTTCTTCATGAGGTTCATCCTCCGGAGGCAACTGCCTTTCAGAGCCCGCAGGTGAGGCCCCCAAGAGAGCCTGCAGTCCCATGTCATGCCAAGGAATTTAGCCACAGGTGATATGGTAATTTGAGTGCCCTGTAAAAACAATAGAGGGAGCTGTTCCTGAGAGCGGTTTCGTTTAAAGTGCATGGCCACGGTTTTCTCGCTTGAAAAGGAGAAGCCGCAGGCCATGGCCCACTGACTGGCTCGGTTTATGGTGGTTTGAATACAGCGTGCGGGGGCGGGCAGGTAATGGGATGATGCATAGATCATAAAATTGTCGACGTATAGAGAGGACTGTACGTTAGGAGGAAGGCTGGAGGTGATCCCGTTTATGACCATCAAGAAGAGTGTGCAGCTGATCACGCTTCCCTGCGGCACACCCTGGTTCTGGACGCATAGAGGTGAGAGCAAAGCCCCACTCTCACTCTGAAAGATCAGTAGCGCAGAAACCAGGTTACCTCTAACAGGGCCAGGTTACCTCTAATCCCGGCTTGATGGGTGAACTGCAGTATTCCGTGTCGCCAGGTTCTATCGTAAGCTTTTTGTACGTCAAAAAATACGCAAATGGTGTGTTCTCCTTCCGTTTTGATCTTTATGATATGGTTTTGGAGTTGGACAAGTGCTTCTGTAGTGCCCCTTGGGGGCCAGAAGCTGTATTGTGTAGGGAAGATCAGATTTTGGCTTTCTAGATATTGTACGTCGTTTTTGACAATTCTTTCCAGTTCATGAGTACCTTCCCCAAAAGGGGAAGGTACTCATGAACTTATACTATGGTATTAGTATACTGGAACAAATTATATTCAATTCAAAATTGAGCCACTGTCCTGAAAAACATTTTGGGATAACCAAAGAGTTTATAGTAAACAATAGAAGAAGTACATTTCTAATGATCTCAAGGTAAACACACTATCTGCCTAATGAAATGGTAGTACTGGTATGTTGTTTTAAATGATGCCTCTTCATGCAAAATCTAAAATAATAAAAGTAATAAAGTCTTCCTAGCTGATTGATATTGATAGATGTGATGAATCGCTATAATAACAAAGCAAGCACCGCGTTCGTGTGGAAACCGTTTGACTAGTCAGCTAATGCTGCTAGGCTTAGTTATATGGCTAACTAGCTTAGCCCGATAAACTAAGCTACTCAGTTGAAGCCGATGAGCTAAATTAATTGACTATGTCTGAAATTATACGTTAATTATGTTAGCTAATGCTGGTAGGCTAAAACTTCACTGAAACGACAAACAAATTAGTTATAGTTAAGAAGCTAGGTAATATTAAAGCTAAATTTTGAAATGTTGGAATTGGAATTGGAAGTTACAACGCGCGTAAGTACACTAAAAAAATTCACGGGTGATGTTGTCGAAATGTTAACACAATTCCTGCTCGTAACACTGATACGCACCTTTTCTTACGCCAGTGGTTACAGTTCAGAGTATCAGGATTGGCGCAGAGATGCGCGGGTTCGATACCGCAACAAGCTGTGAATGTTCTGTGATGTTAAGAAGCGGCGACAGGCCTACGGCCTGCTTAACGCCGAAACCGCTATTATTATTATATTATTATTAGCCGTGCCAAACAGGGTTAAGAAGGCCCACACAAGCGTAAGTAGTGTGTCGCTAAAGTCCCACTCATTTTTATGAGTGCCTTGACCAAGATTTCGTCCCGCTAAAATAAAGACGAAGACTTCGTCCCATGCTTCGTCTGAATCAGTTAGTGTTAATCCAAATGTGACACACTTTTTACACTTAGCAATGATGGCTGGCTAGGCTCATTGCCTAGCCAAACATGGTCAGGATGGAACACACGAAGGCAAAAAGCACATCAGACATCACTACTTGGACAAAATACCACGAATTTCTCTGGGTGTACACGGGAAGATTTAGACGGTTGTTCGTGAGTTGACGGCTGCCGCGGCGCAAAGTTTAAACGCGAATATCTCGAAAACGGCGCAGATTTCGAAGTTTTTCCTTTTGGGTTAAACCCCTTTTAAGGAAAATATTTGTTAAGTAATTACGCTTCTTATGGTATAAGTTTTAACTAATTTCAAACTTAGAAAATTAGTTCAATTTTTAGCGAGCTGAGGACACCGGCTGCTTGGTCCGAATTTTCAGCAAAGCCTATAGAGCGGCAGTCTTGGGGAGGAGAAGTGCTGGCAGGGGAGGGTTTAGTTCATATGTTCCACAAAAATCTAATTTAAAGAAGCTTCTTTGAACAATTTTCACATGCACAAATAACTGCTAATAATACTAAAATCTTCTTTTAAAAATGTTCAGTGTGAAGTTATTTTAAAATTGTTAACATATTCACTTCAAACTGTGTGTGCCGTACACTGGAAGAAATAAGCGGGACTTAGTCCCAGTAGCGACGCACATTTAGCCTTTTGCGGTCATCCTGAATCAATTTGCCCTTGGCAAAAGTGCTTATTAGCGCTTCGTATAGAAAATGTGTCAAAATTTGGACAACAATGCAAACAAAAGCAGGGTCATGGTTGAACTATATTCTACTAGTTCAACCATGGGCAAAGCAACATTGTAGCAGTGACTTGCGAGTTCGAGACCGCAACAAGCTGTGAATGTTCTGCGATGTTCAGAATCGACGACAGGCCTACGGCCTAATAAACACTGAAACCGCTATTATTATCATTAATATGGCTCATTCATTTTTTCGAGTGTATGTTATTGATATAACTTTCAGGGCTTACTTTTGTGCGACATAATTTATTGTATTCAAGTTACTGCGCTCTCATGTCCTTCAAAAAAAAACTTCAAATAATGTTTTTTACTATTTCATTTTCAGGCCACATTTCTTGGTTTGGAAAGTGCACTGAGAGAAATAAGCGGGTCGTTGTTCCAATAGCGATACATTCCCCCTGAGTGGGTCATCCTGACCTAGTTTGGCCCGCCAAAATGGCGGATCAGTTCGCCCTCTACTCGTGCCGTCACTATTTGGACAGCAACCTATTAATTTTTCTGTCTGTCACCGAGAATCTATGCATTTGGCCGTAGTAATATCATTTAAAAATAGCGATGAAATAAAATTAAATTTTTTAAATGAAACTTTTTGATGTCTGAGGCAAAATTATAATTTTCACATCGATAAATACATTTTTTATATATATTAATAGATAAGTAAATTTTTTTTATTTGTTAACATTCTTCGATTTATTAATATGTTCACCCGAAAAATTGAATAATTTCAATTGCTAGATTTTGACAGTCACGCTATTTTGTACCTCACCCAGCTGGCCTCATCACGCTATTTTAATCCTTTTCATGTGTTATTTTAAACTTAGTAAGCACTAACTTGACGAGCAACGACCAGGAGTTAAGACTAAGCGAAAATGTTCATAATTCTACTTCAGGTTTCTTCCTGCGATGTTTATAATAATAAGCTCTAAATCCTAACAAGTCATGCGGACCACACGGCTGCCATCCAAGATNATGCTTTTCTATTTCCAAGGCGCAGGTTCTATCCGTCTTCTGCTATTTCATCTCAACCAGTAACATGATGACACGAGTATGGTGTTTAGTCAGGGGTATGGGTCTCTTCAGACCTATGTCATGGTGCCGTGCTAGATATCCGGTAGCAGGTTACACTCGATTATATATCGTCTGAGATTGTCAGTCCCAAAGATGCTTCGAGGAACTTCTCTTAGCATCCTGGACAGCATTTCATTTGGGCTGAGAGCAGTGGTGTTGGGGTAGTAGTTTTGCCGAGTATCACTGTGGCTCGGGCATTCCGCCATAACATGCAAGACCGTCAGGGGTACCAAACAATCATTGCAATACGGCATCGGACGGCGTTCGATCAGGTAGCTGTGAGTGAGGCGCGTGTTGCCGATCCTTAGTCTGGAAAGCGCTACCTCCATCTTCCGGGATTTCTGGTATGATGAACTCCACGCTTGTACACAGTCCTTAATTGTTCTTAGTTTGTTCTCTCTCACGTCCAGCCACTGTTCCTGCCAGATATGGCGGATGCTTGCCTTGATGATAGGGTAGTGGTCCCGGCAAGGGACCTGCTCGCTATGGATCGCCTGGTCCGATGAGGCGGCGTTTACCGCCGCCTCATCCGCCCTCTCGTTGCCTCGCACCCCACATGTCAGGGCACCCAGCAGACGCTCACCGCTCTCCCCGCCCCCGCCAGGCGCACCAGCCCAGTTAGGATCTCCCGGACGATAGGTTACCTGCTGTTATAAACTCTCAGAGCCTGCACCACATTTTTGGAGTCAACAAATATTGTAAAGTCGTCTCCGGGCAGTTGATCTATGAGGCTAAGGGCACAGCTAACACCGACAAGCTCTGCGGTGAAGATTGACGAGCTTGAACTGAGTCGTCTTGACACCGCCGCTGCGCCGGCCGCAGCTGCACATCCCATTGCGCCGTTCGTCTTAGAGCCGTCGGTGTAAACATGCGTGGAGTTAGCATGTTTTGTAGATGCATGGTGTAGAAAGTTGTTTCATCTTGGTTGGGTGTGTCCTTTGCTTGAGTGGGTAGTTTTGGTCCGGGCAGAATGTGTTGATTGGGATGCGCCACGTAGGGGTATCCTCAAACGTGACTGGTATGACTTCTACACATGAGCATGCGTCATTGCAATCAGTGTTTCATAGTCTTCGGATGACGGGATATAGTACGGGAAAATGTTTGGTCGGTCTACAGTAATGACGCTGCGCCGTGTTGGGGATAGAGGTAATTGCTTGAGGCGGGCTATCATCTGTAGAGTGGATTCGGCGGAGATAGAATGGAGGTTCGCTGCTCTCTGCATAGAGGCTAACAGTGGGGTATGTTCTAAATGCTCCGGTCCATGCCGTGATGGCGGCGTTGTGAACCGGGTCGAGTAATGAAAGGGTTCGTTTTCTTGCATGTTGGTAGATGACGCATCCGTAGTCCATCTTTGTTCTAATAATGGCTATATAGAGGTAAGGTAGGGTCAGCCTATCCGATCCCCACAACAGACCAGACAGGTTCTTCATGAGGTTCATCCTCCGGAGGCAACTGCCTTTCAGAGCCCGCAGGTGAGGCCCCCAAGAGAGCCTGCAGTCCCATGTCATGCCAAGGAATTTAGCCACAGGTGATATGGTAATTTGAGTGCCCTGTAAAAACAATAGAGGGAGCTGTTCCTGAGAGCGGTTTCGTTTAAAGTGCATGGCCACGGTTTTCTCGCTTGAAAAGGAGAAGCCGCAGGCCATGGCCCACTGACTGGCTCGGTTTATGGTGGTTTGAATACAGCGTGCGGGGGCGGGCAGGTAATGGGATGATGCATAGATCATAAAATTGTCGACGTATAGAGAGGACTGTACGTTAGGAGGAAGGCTGGAGGTGATCCCGTTTATGACCATCAAGAAGAGTGTGCAGCTGATCACGCTTCCCTGCGGCACACCCTGGTTCTGGACGCATAGAGGTGAGAGCAAAGCCCCACTCTCACTCTGAAAGATCAGTAGCGCAGAAACCAGGTTACCTCTAACAGGGCCAGGTTACCTCTAATCCCGGCTTGATGGGTGAACTGCAGTATTCCGTGTCGCCAGGTTCTATCGTAAGCTTTTTGTACGTCAAAAAATACGCAAATGGTGTGTTCTCCTTCCGTTTTGATCTTTATGATATGGTTTTGGAGTTGGACAAGTGCTTCTGTAGTGCCCCTTGGGGGCCAGAAGCTGTATTGTGTAGGGAAGATCAGATTTTGGCTTTCTAGATATTGTACGTCGTTTTTGACAATTCTTTCCAGTTCATGAGTACCTTCCCCAAAAGGGGAAGGTACTCATGAACTTATACTATGGTATTAGTATACTGGAACAAATTATATTCAATTCAAAATTGAGCCACTGTCCTGAAAAACATTTTGGGATAACCAAAGAGTTTATAGTAAACAATAGAAGAAGTACATTTCTAATGATCTCAAGGTAAACACACTATCTGCCTAATGAAATGGTAGTACTGGTATGTTGTTTTAAATGATGCCTCTTCATGCAAAATCTAAAATAATAAAAGTAATAAAGTCTTCCTAGCTGATTGATATTGATAGATGTGATGATCAAAGCTATGAGAGAAGAAATGAATTCTAGGTAACTTTTGTACTTGAAAAATACTCACTCTAACAAAAAGGAATACTTTCTTCCAGTTAATGTTCGTGAGGGAAGAGGAGGCATTTTGAGTTGGCATTTTGTTCCAGGTGTACACCACTCCTTTGATGAGACGTAACACCTCTTCTTCTGTCCATGGTCCATCAGCAACTGAAAACAAGTTATGGTCAGCTTAGCCACTGCCATGCTAATACTCGAAATTTGAATAAATTGGTGTAACAGGAAGCATTCGATTTAGACAAACAATTCTTCAATTAACATGATGTTAGGGGCTTGGAAGTTAAGAATCTCTGATTCTTCAATTGTATTTTCAAAAGATGAGCTAAACAGAGCACCGCACTTCTTTCAGGAGTTAAGAAGGCAATAGCACATCAGCCACAACAAAGCTGTTTCCAAAGCACCATAGCAAAATCTTTCATAAATAAAATTGTATGACGAACAAATAGTGTCAGTTTTGGTTCAAAACAAACTCATCTGAAAAAGCATGCAAAATGTTCTAGTCATTTGACTACTTATGAGACCAATTGTTATAGAATTACATTAGGCTAAATGTGAAACAGTTACCAACCATGAATTAGAAATATGTAGCCAACTTATTTGATATTGAATTACGTATCAAAATATTGTAAAACCAATCAAGTTTCACTGTTGGAAGAACATTAGTGAAAATTGCACAATTCTTATAAACCAAATAAGGCATATATGGTCAATACTCAGTTAGCCAAAGGCTTAAATATAGTACTTTTGTGCTAGGTATGGAAGCTTTGTAAAAGCAAACAAGTTAACATTTTTTTTCCTTCCATAGCTCCTAATTCTAGCATAAGGAGACTTTTCATGATGTAACCTTTATTTCTAATTATGAAATAAGCTAATCAAATTAGCAGCACAGATGAATAATCACATCAAACAATGAAGCCAAGTCTACACATGCTTTTATATTATAATTCTACTCAAACTTCATGAATCTATTACACAGAATTGTGATTATATAAAAGAAGATAGTATATACCTTCATATGAAAGTAAGCAGCAAGGACGTTTTCTGTTACAAAATAAAATCATATACATTAAACAGCCTTAAGAATTGAGTATCTCACTTGGACAGAGCGTGAAGCGATAGTTTGACACAAGGTGACGGGAGAGCTGCCTTGAATTCAAGGAACCCAGTATGAACTCCATAGAAACAAGGTCCACCCCATAGCGCTTCAGAAACAGGTCAATAAGGCACATCTCTCTTTTTGTCAAGGTGTTTTGATATAATACTGATGTATAAAGATGCCACTTCATCTGCAGAAATGAAAAAATGTAAACAAAAATTATCGAATCTTTTTTGCAAGGTTCAATAATTCAAGCATGCTCAAGATATTCCTTATGTAAGCAACAATTTGTTCAATTTTCAAATCATTAAAAAAATTTAGGCTATGCAGTAGTACAATATAGTAAACTTTTGTAAAACACAAATGAAATAAAAATTTTAATGGTTCATATGACAGATATTTGGAAAAACAATTAAAATGTTTCTTTCTATAAAAAATAAAGACCTTTTCTTTAGACCTGCTTTTTTAATTTGAAATTTCACCTGTGGAATTTCGAGATACAAAGTTATGCAAATACAGGTAGGTATTTGATGTAGTACCTACTAAAATAAAGTCCCTGGAAATGAAATATTAACCTAACTAAGGATGTGTAAAAATGCGGCATTTTTTTGGTAATTTTAATAAGCTATTCTTTATGTTTCAAGCATGATAAATAAATGAAGAAGAATATACTTAAAAATAATCAATTCCAGCAAAATGACTGATAGGCCCTAGGATATAAAATTGTAGAAATTTTGAAAAATTGGGGCAGCCATAGACTCCAATTTCATTATAACATACATGATAGCATTTGAGAATTAGTACAAAGAACCACAAGGATAAACTTGATGAATAATAATGCTTATTAACAGGATTGCATCACACCCACATTAGTTCTGCTACTTTGTTGAGATATTATGGTTCAAGTTGTGAAACAAATCTGCGAATGAAATTAAATTAAGTCTTTTGGAATCTTATATGGGAATAAAAGCAATCATGCTATCTCAACTGGATTGTAGCTGAACATCCATGATACATTTGGAATGATATATTGCCATCTCATGCCAGTGGTAACACAACACATACTTGAAATTAATATGTTTCAAAGTTAAATTGTAAGCAGGGATGAAAAAATACAAGATATTCTCACATACCTGCAGCAGACTTCTGTTTAATCCTTTCCTTATGTATTTTAGAAACTTTTTTTGTTGAGGTACTGAGGTGAAGTAAGCCTTCTCTACTACAAATGAGTCAGGACTGCCTTCAAAAATGCAGGTGCGGTAGTTTATCAGGGGGCGCAAGTCATAAAATTTATGCTCCTGTATAAAAATTAGAACATTGTGAGTTCAATTTAGAGGATTGAAATAATTGGCAATAGTAACTTAGCGACTGTGCATAGCAACTTAGCATTAAAACTCCAATGTATATATACCTATATTCAAGTTATTTACGTATATGTTTAAAATTATTCAGCAAACAATACACATTGGTAATTCCTGAATAATATTTAGTTCTTTTTACAAGAGTGAATAGTAAAAATCCCAATAATACAATTTTTTATGCAGTCATTATGAGTACAGCGTGCGTACCCATATTTAGAAAAAAAATCCATGACTTTTCCATGACCTGGTTCTAGTAATCTTTGAATGTTAATTGAAAAGAGAGTAGTTAGCGCAGCAGAACCAAACTTTGCCAGAACATGTACAAGATGTGTAGTATCAAACCTACGCATCCACTTGTATATCTATTTGAGCTTACAATTTTATTATAAATCCATTTTTTCTGCTGGTTCCAAATGGAACCAATCAGCATTAATGGGTTAACACACGCAACACAGAAAAGCATTTCCTTTCTTCTTCATTTATTTGCAAATTCCATGACTTTCCATAACCTGAAATGAAATCCCATGACATTCCAGGCCTGGAAAATGAAAAATTAAAATCCATGACTCTCCAGGTTTTCCATGACCGGTACAAGCCTGTGAGTATTAATTTAAAGAAGAAATGCAAGAATATAATAATAAATAAGCCATGTTTCCCGTGGAAAAGTGCAAGACAGGTTAGCAAGTTGCAAGTAATAATGTATGTAATAGCTGAAAAACATGGATTTAAAATGTGCATTGGGGAAGACAACCAAATGTCCTAGCTAATTTGGTATTGGAAGTATTTTAGTCAACAGGCAGAACAGTCTGTTAGGCACTGTTAAAAATATTTGGTGCCAAGTGTTAGAATAACAAATGAATAAATAAAGCAAGTGAAATGTAGGTGGTAGAGACATATTCATCTATTGTTTTGAAAAGATCATGAAATGCCATAAATGACTCATTTGTCATGGACAGTATCACCAACCAAGTTGTACCAAATATGAAAAAAAATATAACTCAGTACTCACTGCAGTGAGTGACAGAGAGCGCATTTTCTCGTCGACGAAAACTTGAGGTCACGGACGGACAGACAGAGACAGACATGGCGAGCACAATAGTGCATTTTTTCCGTAAATGAGAGAATGCGCTAAAAAGAGCAACTTGAATGATCCTCCTGGTAAACTAAATGATATATTCAGGCAAACTAAAGGGAAAATAAATGATGACAAAATTCTTGAGGTAACATCTTTGTATAATTCGCAGCAAAAAAAAAACTGATGAAAGCAATGATAGGGCAGCCTGCAGTTAAAAATTACAGTCTCAACATTTATCAGGATAAATTTTAGTCACTTTCAACTCCCCTTCATGTAGCCAAACTAGAATTCCAAAACTCACCTTTTGAAACTGATTCCAATTTTCATTAATACGTTGTTGCTCTATTTCAGTCAATGGTCCTTTATTAAATGTGCTGTCTGATTTAGCCTTCTTATTCTTCAGGCTTTCAAATGTAGTGTCTTCCTCAGCATCAGTTTCCTTGTCCATGAATAATTTTTCAAGAAACTGTAAAAAAAATAATTTTTTCATGAAATAACTCATTTGAAAGGCATAAATCAGAAATTGACAACAGAATTTGCAACTTGGCTAAGTTGTGTATTCATTCTATAATATGGGACAGGCTGCAAGTTTTTTAACATGGGACAAGTTTTCTTGCCTATCTTTGTTTGGGCTTAATGTACAGACAACAGGTGCAATCAGGTATTACTTATCCAGCACAGGTTTTTCATTTATTATATAAGTTCTATTTTACTTCAAATAGTATAACAAGTAATATATCAAATTCCATACACCAAATACTGTCTCTCACACAAGTGAATTTACCTATTTAAGTGAAAATGTGTCTTTATATTCCTATTTGTTGAAGATTCCATAACATCTTTTCCACCCAAGTCATTGAAATTCAAAGCAGTGACAGGACAATCAATTGCAAAATTTAAGCCAAAAATAGTGAAAAAAATAAATATCAACCAAGCATGTTACACCATTAATAGAAGTAATTCGTGGTATTAATTAATAAATTTCACTGGAAAATAGTTACAGTTTGCACTTGCTAATAATGGAATGGAAATTAAAATTTATACAGATAAACAGTAACAACACATTTACCTACTCTTGGTGACTAAATGTATTGTGCATACGGTATATTGAAAATTTTATTCATACAACAGTAGTTAGAATATAATTGCAGTTTTAATAAAGGAATTTTAAATTACAAAAATTGAATGGATAGTGTTGGGAATCAGTAAATAAAACCATTATGAGGACCATCATACTACCTCATCAAAACTAAATAATCCTCCATCAGCAATTTAATGGCAAGAAAAATATATACCTCAAGCTCCTTGTAGGTTGGCAGGTAAGGTTCACTGTAGTCAACCTCATTTATCTTCTTTTCTTTCATAGACTTTTCATCAAGAGTGCCTTGTTTAAAATGCATAAAATGTTTAGCAATTTTATCTATTTTTTCATTCAATTCATTTTCAATGTCCTCAGGAGTAAATTCGTTGTTACTTTGAAGGCTTTCTTGAAAATTTGGCAAGGCTTTGGCTCTTTTCCATTCAGCTTCTGTGAATTTTAATTTTGGTTTGTAGACATAGTCTTCAAGACTGCAGAACTCTGAAGATTTTCGAGCCTTTGAAAATTTGCAAACAAAATAAGGACCAAGAGTGCAAACAACATATGGGCCTGGGACAACACCTGTAAATTTTCCTTGCGTGTTTTTTGGTCCAAATTCTTCTTCAGTCTCATTCAAATCATCTGCTGGCATGAGGACAGCAGGGGCAGTTTCAACAGAAATATTTTCTTGGCTGTTCTGATTAACTTTTTCATTTACTGGCTTAGCAATGGGCTCAAATGAAACTTTATTCACTTCATCTTGATTTTGAATTGGCTCATTAATTCCTAAATTTCTATCACAAAATTCATTGATATTATGAGTGCTATTCATATTACGAGAACCCTGAGAATTACTTTGACGAGTCAACACATTGACAAAATTACTTTCTTTCTTTTTCTTCATAGGGTTTGATCCACTAAATGATTTAATAACAGTTGAATTATTGGAAGGATTAATTTCTATTCCCAGGGAAAAACTTGACTTATTTTTAGATTTTTTCTTGACAATTTTGTGAGATTTTTCCAGTATATTGTGCAACATTTTTTCATCATCCTGATCCATTATATATTAGAAATGTATATAAAATATTAATTACAACAATTAGTGAACAAGTTCTGGAAGAAGAAGAAAAGAAATATTAGAAAAGTAACAAGATTAGATCATAGCAATCTGTAAAAAATATTAATACGTATCATGGGAACAATGGATAAAAGTTAATATGGTACTAATGAATTAAATCCAATGAATATACATTTGATACATACAGGACGGTCAAACAGAGTAATAAGGGAGGGGCGGGGTAAATAGGGACAGTCATCCCACATTTCATAGAAATGTTGTAGCAGCTAAACTAATCAAAATATTGCAAAACTAAAAATAGTGGCATAAAGTTCAACATTTTTACTATCTATGGAGCAAAAGAAAAGATAGGAAATCATACATTTGATACCTCTAAAAAATCCCTGAAAAAAAGTGTGAAAAGTACGATTTTGGGAAAGCAAATCTGCTAAGGTCTGTAGCAAAAAAAAAATTTAATAATGTCACTCGTTTGCTTGAGTTGCAAATTCACGAAAAACTTAAAAGCAAAGAAAAGTCCACAAAAATTCATAATATCTTTAAAGAAAATGTTTTGTAGTCCAGCTCCATTGTCAGTTCGAAAATTCTAGAACACAGATAAATCAGTAATTAGTACAGTCTAGTCTAGTTAGTCTAATTAGTACTGCACTAATTACTGATTTATCTGTGTTCTAGAATTTTCGAACTGACAATGGAGCTGGACTCCGAAACATTTTCTTTAAAGATACTATAAATTTTTGTGGAGTTTTCTTTGCTTTAAAGTCTTTAGCAAAAAAATTATTCACCGCATGAAAAAATTATAATTAAAGTTACACACAGGCATTCCATAGCGCCAGCAACAACAAGGCTCACTTCCACATTTCTGGCTGCGTCAACAAGCAAAACGTGCATTACTGGTGTGGTGTAAATCTATGTGAGCTTCACCAGAAGCCACTCAACTGTGAGTGAGTTACTGTGTGGTGTGCAATGTCTGTGTAGCAGTTCCCAGTAAGCAAGCACAAATATGCAAGACTGTAGCTCTTGAGTCCGTGGACATGGAAACAAATATGGAATGTGGTCAGAAGGAGTCCCATTCAGGAAAGCATGAAACATGAAAAACACTAAACAATTTACTACTAAGAAAACACAAAATACAAAATGGCAGAAACAACAATAACTGAACGGTACCTAGTCTAAATCAAACACTAGCAGTGGTGTCAGTTCAGCCCACTTGGTCTGGGACTCTGGGTAAAGTGCTCTAATGAGTGGACCACTGAGGCCTCTCAGTCTTATAGTTTCAAGTAACTACAAGATAATAGTAAAGGGAAAAATGGAAAAATAGTTATTAACAGCCTCTGCTGCCAGATAATAACAATGTCTTACTCGAATATTAGCCAAGGCCAACTATGGTTTTAACAACCATAAATCAAGTGGTAACCATCCCTAAATTGGCTTCAGGTACAAGCCAAGGAGTGATCGTTGGCAAGGCAGAACTTGACTGCTGGGGGAGGGATGGAGATAAATGCTGAGTGGCTTGCAGACCAAGTCACACACACTCGCATACCACACCCGAGCACACCACCCTCACTTCACACTGCAATGTGCACTCAGCACCATCACACTTACCTTTTGGCAGGAAGTAAGCCCAAAGGGTTGTAGCCATCTTACCATTTCCTGGGCTGTTGGGAGAGCTAATGATTATCCAGGGCCTAGAGCACATGTGGAAAGCAAATGGTATGTGGCAAGCAAATAGAAACAAATAGGTGCCAAGCTCAAGAATGCATAAGCAGACTAGGTCACACAATACCTAAATGTTGAACATCAATGAAAGTAAATCAAGAAAAAGGCAAACAGTTATGCAGTTCAGGAATTACATATGCAAATTCTAATTTTGCACTTCTGGTATATAGCTGGTCAGTCTAAAGTTTCAACTACCCTTGACCCAATAATATGATTCCCTCACTGATGTATGGGGCATTCATGAGTGGATTCAAGGGATTGAAAAGACAACTGGCCCCACTAAGTCACACAAGTCAGTAAATATACTCTTATACTCCTAGTCAGTAAATATACTCCTAGAAAAACTATAAAAACGTACTAAGTCATATAAGTTTGGGCATAACGCATCTAGGGAAAGCACAAGGCTCAGTAATTTTCAGTCAGTATTCAAGTCAAAATTTGGTTGATAAGTGGAATCTTTGTTCTTGATGGCCAGGAGTTGGTTGAGTGATCTTAGGCTCTCATCAAGAAGACTGTAGCTCCACACCAACCACTCCTAAATGTCAAATAAATTCATTCATAAGAACCAGCCTTCTAGGAATATTGACATCAGGAGGATGTTTAAAACTGTTTTGTCACACACAAAGTCATGAATGCATTAGTTTCAGAAGTATAGTTATAGAATACTATGCGTCTCTATACATAATTTAAATCACTTTTCCTGTTAAGTTTGTGTACTAACATACATTAAAATATGATTTTTCAAGTGTACGAATATTCATTTCCCCCCACTGTAAATGGACAGGATTAACATGAGAACCAGTGAAAACCATCCATTATTCTTTATAAACAGGCATGAATGACTGGAAAACATTTCTTAAGAGCTCAGTAATGACAAATAGTAGCTTGGCAACATTTTTAATGAGATGACATGAACTGTACTCACCAAAATGGAGCATCAGGATGAGATTAGCAAGCAGAGGTGTAGATCAAATCATGCATTAAGGAGTCTTAAGCAGGCTTTTGAAGGTCAGAAAAGAATCGGGTGCAACCAGTGTATTTCCAATTCAGCAATCAGGGGTGCAGACTAACAAAAGTGCACTACATATGGACTTGCAAGAATTATGTCTCATTAACTTTTACTCTGCTTAAATATTACACCAAGGGGAATAAGATACAAGATTAATAAGATGCACATGACACTTGAAAGGTAATGAATTAAAACATGACATACATTAAGGTACAATTGTAAATGAATGATTCTACTGTATACTATAGCTAATGTTCTGCGGCCCTCTTCATCGGTAATGGGAATAATTGGTCCTTTTTTAAGAAAACAAATGCATAGTTATCATTAATGGAGCTCATTACAGGAACATGATTAAGGAATTATTTCTTCCAAAACTCAAAGAAGGGAACATTAGCAACATGTGGTTTCAGCAAGAAGGAGCCACAGCACACGCAGCACAAGACTCAATGAATTTGTTGCGACAACATTTCCCCTACTGCCTCATCTCTCTCAGAAGCGATCTCCAATGGCCACCATACTCTCCAGATTCAACTCCATGCAATTTCTTTCTATGGGGTTATTTGAACTCTGGTTTATATCAATCAACCATAGACCATAGCACACCTCAAGAACATTTGCAACGCCATTGCCAACATACTGATTGATGTACTGCAAAGAGTGGATACAATTTTCAACAATCAACTTCATCAGTGTGTAACTGGAAACACTGCAGCGAAGTTGAAATATTTACAGGTAGCGTGCTGACTTGGTGTAGACCTTTGTACTGATCCTAAACACAAGGGCTAAAGAGTGGCTTGTTAGTCCAGCTCTAAATTCCCTTGCATTGGAGAGAGGAGGAATAAACACAAGGAACTTTTTGTATTATACTGTAATCTTCAGGCAAATTACAGGGTTCTTCATATAAGGCACACAATTTATTATTCGTCTTAGTCCAAAAGTTCACAGAAAAAGGCACGACACTTCAGGAATACAAACAGCCGAGAAACAACACAGTATGAGCCCTAATAAACAGCTGAGAATAACAAAATGGATAGCAAATGGCAAGGAAACTAACCGCACCAAGATGCCAACGATCAGCCACATCAATTACGGGTTCTAGCCCTAATACACTGCCAAAACACAAAAACGGACAGCAAATGGTATGGGAACTAACCGCACCAAAATGCCGACAACTGCAGACTAGGGGTTCTAGCCATAATACACTGCCAAATCACAAAAACGGACAGCAAACAGTTCAGGAACTAACCGTGCCAAGATGCCGACAACGAACTGCAGACTAGGGGTTCTAGCCTTAATACACTGCCAAATCAAAAAAACGGGCAGCAAATGGTATGGGAACTAACCACACCAAGATGCTGACAACAAACCGCAGAGACTAGGGGTACTAGCCCTAATATGCTGCCAAATCACAAGAACGGACAGCAAATGGTACAGGAACTAACCGCACCAAGGTGCCAACAACAAACTGCAGACACTAGGGGTTATAGCCCTAATACACTGCCAAATCACAAAAATGGACAGCAAAACTTGTTATTTGCCTCTGGCCTTGCCTTTACCTCACCTCAATGTCTTTGTCCTCTTCTGTTTCAGTCTCTGTTACAGATATTCATTAAGTATAAGCTGAGCCCAATGAATGATACTCAGCTGTGTAACAGAGCGGTCTGACAGTCCTGACCACTCGTGCTTAGCCATGCTGGTTAGTGAATGTTCACTCTTGTATATATATGTTTTGTCTGCATTTTAATTTACTTGTGTTTTCTGTAAATAATGCATTGTTACTTGATTTATTATGATTCTTTGATTCATTGCACTAACTACTGCATTTTCTCATGATTCCTTTTTTAAACAAATAGTGAACTATACTGAATAGTCTGTCATTGCATTGTCAACCGTGTTCACCTTGCAAACCCTTTTGGTTCTGTGGTTACTTAACTTGTTTTGATTCCATTCAATTATGACTATATCCCTAGCTTGCTTTGTTAAGGTTAACTGATAAGTCCCTTACCTTTACTTTACCCTGCAATGCTTGATTACTAATTAATCATTTCAATCACAGCTTCTCAAGTTATACATTTACTCTTTATTGACCTCATTTATTTTTACAGCTGGCTTGGTAATGTCAAGTTCACATTAACCCAGCCTGTGCTCTTCCCTTTATTAGTGATTTTTGGATTTTATTTTGCCTACCACAAATCTTAATTTTCAGTAATTCTGTAAATATGTGAGGAACTTGTTCATTTGATATTGTTCGTAATAAAATTTAAAACCTTAAAGCTTTCAAACCTTAAATTTAGACAAGAATTAGCGCTT